AAAAGGTATTAATATTGTTTCTGAGTCCCCACTCCAATTAGAACATACTCTTCACTATTTACAAATATATATATAAATAAATATATATGTATATATATATATATATATATATATATATAATGAAGTATGAACTCCTGGAGGGCCACAACTCTTGTAGCTACTGAAGAGCCTCCAATAGAACTGGCTGTATAGTAGGTACAGAAAAAAACGTAAACAGAGTTAATAGCATGATCATGGGTCATTTAGGTCAACACTGTTAAGAGCCTATGTCCTGGTGCTTGTGTTTATTTACAAAGAATTTTGAAAATCTCCATAAGCTTAAGTTTGATGATTTGTAAGACTGCGGTAGCTGTTTTCCATGGTTTGCATTTCAAAGTCATATAGCCTCTCCTAGAATGAAAGAATAGAGGCTTCCATAGGGAAGAGTCATGGCTCTTTATCTCCTTTGAGTTAACAACCCTTTTGAGAATCTTGGGTAAGCTACGAAATTCAAACAATTCCTCCAAGTAAAAAAGTGCATATTTCTACAGAATTTTGCTCACAACTCAAACAGTTTCACAGACTTCTTAAGTTCCAAGTTAAGAATTCCCTAGCCTAGAAAATTCTGAATGTGGAAGCAATCATCCCTGCATAATGAACAGGACAAAATAAAAATAAATTTTCTATTCTAAATATTTGTCAAGCCAGTGAGATATTTTGATATTAAAGTCTTAAAACTCTGTGTAATAGAAACTAGAGGCATTGCAGAGAATGATGACACATGTGGGCACCTATTATGGTCAAGGTTGAATGACCCCCTTTTTTTATTTTTTGATTATTTTTATAAAGATGTGGAGTACAATTCAGGGTTAGGTATATAAACATTGATCATACCGGTACCCTTGTTGATGAGATATGCCCCTCCCTCCCCTAGCAGTTTCCCTCAACTGCCAACGTCCCCCTCCCCGTGACAGTTTCCCACTACTGCCAATCACTTGAGTGACCCTTTCTTAAAGACCTGTAAAATATTCTGTGCCAGGAAAGGATGTCTGTGAAGTAAGTAATCTATTATCACATAGAATGTTAAAACCAAGAGTTAAAAGTAAAAAAAAAAAAAAAGATATTAAAAGATAAGTTTGCCCTTGTGGAGTGAATACTCACCTCTGTCCTCTACCAAAAGCACCAAAGTTCACATATTCCCCATTTTATTTCTCTCAGAGCCCAATTCCAGCACTAGGGTGTGGCATGTTAATAACATTTTAAAGTGTAATACCACACATCTATAATTCACCCATTCAGGTTTTTCTTTCTTTCTTCTACCTCTCTTCTTTTTTTCTATGGTTTCTTTGTGTGTGTAATGTAAAGCCATTTATTTAGGGTCTGTGGATAGTCCAAGGAAAGAAAGAGTGATTTTTTTTTTTATGACAGCATTTGTAACCATGTGGGTAAAATGAAATGTGCTTGAAGTGGCTAGAGAAAAACTTTATCACACCCACCTCCAATAAACATACCTACCCCCCCAACACACACACACAAAGTGAGACAAACAGACAGATATACAGGGACAGGGATTCACAGTACCTGAATTCTGGTCTGCCTAGGCCTCAACTGTATGAATCTAGGTTTTACTCTACATGACTCTGGGTGAATTGTATGTGGACTATGAGGGCAAGAGAGAATTCAAAGATGACACCTAGGTTTGGGGCTTGAGGGCACCATTTATAATATGGTATTACTCATGAATGTTTAGAGTAGACAACTGAAAGTTAAGATTCCGTTTCTTCATGTAAGCTGAAACGTTAAGTAGGCCATTGGAAATGTAAGTCTGGAACTCTTGCAAGAGGTTAGAGCTGTAGATAAACACCTGGGAGTTACCAGTGATTAGACGCTGTTTATGGCTATGAGCTTTGAGGAGAGTACCTAGGCAGTGAGTGTTCAGTTTGAGAAAAGGTCAGGAGCCCAAGACCTGAAGCTCTCCAATGTGTACGAGAGCTGATGGGAGCATATTTCCAGTTTCCTAATGGAAATTAAAATAAAATCTTGGCTTAGCAGAATATTATTTGTAAACATTGTATAAAATGAGGCGCAGTATTATTAAAACTCACCAATTAGGGATGATCAGGAGGAGGTAGGTAGGCAGGCTGTAAGTCTGTGGGATAAGAAGGGTAAGTAGGCTGGATGGAGGTAGATGTGGATATAAAGGCATCCTGATCTAGCATGGTGGTTTTAGAATTGTTGAGTGTCTTGACTGTGGTGCCAGATACACAAAACTACATAAGTAGTAAACTGTAGAGAGCTTAATATACACACAGATGAGTACACATTAAACCAAGGAAATATGAATAGCACGGATAATTGTATCAAAGTCAGTATCCTGGTAGATATAAGGTACTATAGTTTTATAAGATATTACCATCGGAGAGACTGGGAAAAAGTGTATGATGGATATCTATTTCTTACAATTGCAAGTGAATCTACAATGATCTCAGTTGAAGGGGTCTACCTTTAAGAAAAAGTCATAAAAATTAAGTTACATAAATTTTCAGTTAAATGAATTATATTGAAAACAAAGATGTACTCAAAACTCAAAAGAAGACAAAACAAACCATGGGCCATTAAGCTAAGATTCTTACATGTAAAAAAATTAATCAACTGGCTTACCACCTTTAATTCTAACAGTATATAAAACGAGATGACCAACTAAATTTTGATCCACTCTCTTCATTAGCTTTTTATTTATACATTTATTTATTTTTAGCAAGCATGTTGGGAGGTATACTTTTTCAGCTTCATGAAATTATACCAGTAGTCAGTGAGTAGTACTCTTTGATCTCTGAAAATTTAGTTTTATAAAGAGAAGGCTATTAAAAAGATCACTTAGGACAGCAATGCTATAGTTGGCTTACTTTTTTTTTCTGACAAAGAAATTAAGGTAGTAATATTTTTAAAATTGGTGTAAATTGTCTTTTACAAAAAACTATAAAATTTAGATATGACTCAAACAATTGCACTTAAAGTGAGAGTTGTTAATCTGAAGATATAGATATTTAAAGATGTAAAATCATGTTTTTAGGTGAAGTTTGAGGAAGTATGTCCTTTTGTTTTAAGTTATTAAGTGCTATTTTTTATGGAGATGAGAGGGAAGTTTTAATGATTTTATTTATTTTTATTTTTTATTTTTTTTAATTTTTTTGAGTTGGAATCTCACTCTCTCACCCAGACTGGAATGCAGTGGCCTCTCCTGGCCACTGCAGCCTCGACCTGCTGAGCTCCAGTGATCCTTCTGCCTCAGCCTTCCAAGTAGCTGGAACTTCAGGCATGCACTGCCCTGCCCAGCTAATTTTTTGATTTATTGTAGAGATGAGGTCTCACCAAGTTGCCCAGGCGGGTCTCGAACCTGCGGGCTCAGGCAATCCACTCACCTCAGCCTCCCAAGGTGTGGGATTACAGCCTGAGCCACCGAGCCCGGCTTAGTTTTAATGATTTTAAATGAAGGTAACCTTTTTATTATTTTGCTGTAAAAATATGTATCAGCATTTATCAAAGATCAGAAGATATTACATATTACATTTAGTGTATTTGAGGTATTATAGTTACAATGTTCTTATACATCATTTTTGGTTTTAGGAGTATATAATGAGAGATTTCAGTTACCTGAAATAGACACTTACTATGTTTTTTAACTTTGCTCATTTATTTATTCATGTATTTGTATATACACATTGTTTTTTTCCTTCATAATTAATTTAAATCATTTTCATTTCAGACACAGTGAAAATAAACTTGTTCCTGTTTGATTTTGAATCATACTAATCAATTAAAAGAAAACGTTATTTGTTTTTTGACATGACTAGAAATTCCTTTATAACAAGTATTTAATTATTTAGAAAATCTTGCCTTTTGAAAAGTTGTTTGAAAATAAACTGGGCACAGTGGCTCATGCCTGTAATCCCAACACTTTGGGAGGTGGAGGTGAGAGAATTGTCTGAGTCCAGGGATTCTAGATCAGCCTGGGCAACTTGTGAGACCTTGCTTCTACAATAAAATCAAAACATTAGCCAGGTGTGGTGGCACATACCTGTTGTTCCAGCTACTTGGGAGGCTGAGGCAGAAGGATCACCTGAGCCCAGCAGGTTGAGACTGTGATGACTCTGAGCGTGCCATTGCCCTCTAACCTGGGTGACAGAGTGAGACTCCAACTCAAAAAAAAAAAAATCAATTTGGAAGCATATTTTTTAGATAGGTTACCCCAGGCCTTTCATACACACACACGCGTGTGCGCGCACACACACAAACACACACCTCTCCATATAAATGGGAGATTTTTAAAAAAATGATGAGAGCATGCTTTTTTGCTTTTAGTCAAATTTAGAACCAGAAAATGGAATTCTAATGTGGTGCCTGTCTGAAAAGAGAGGAAGGACAGATTTCTTGGGAATATGAGTTGGTTGGTATCAGAGTAAGGAGTATATGAAGACTTAAATGATACAAAGTTATATCATTCATTCAAATATTACTTTTACAAACATTAAAATGAAGGAAATATTTTTTAAGTACACAGAAGGAAATGAAGCATTATGCAGCATGTCATCATCCAGAAATGAGTCACGGGGATTTGAAAGAACAAAACAAGAGGTTCAACTATCTGGAACTGTTTAGGACTGACCTTCAAGAAAGCAGAAGGATAGACTGACTAAACCTAATGACAGTGTCGCCTCAAGAAAACAAGGACTTGTTCATTTAAAGTTGTAGTGGACAAGTTGAGCAAATAATTATTATAATTAGATTTCTTAGTAAATCAAGCTACAAAAAACCCTAGAGACTTATTTATCAACTTTTTCAATGAACAAACCTCAATGAAAAAGTACCTAAGAACTTTAACTGGGCTACCAATCTAATAAAATAGCCTTCTGTATTCTCTTCTCAGTAGGTATCTGATAAAGCTTATTAATCTTTGGTTTAATCTGTAGATCACTGTCATTAAATAATCACATATGTGTAATTTCTGCTTTATTTTTAAGCTGGATAATGCAGATGAACAAGCAGCCCAGATCAGAAGGGAACTTGATGGTCGGCTGCAATTGGCAGAGAAAATGGCAAAGGTAAATTATTAATTTTGACATACCATGTTTCTTACTTTACCTAGATTTCTATAAGTTGAAAGAGTGCTTTGAGTAGGAGGGGGAAAAAAACAGCAAAATTTTATCGTTTCCTTTACACGTATGTACCTGTTAACCTCAAATACCTGAATGCATGGTATCTAGGTGGAGTGCATTATCCATTTTATATTTCCATCCTTAATATGTGAACTGTTTAAATTCACTGATAACTTTTAATAGATTTTCCTTAAAGCAATTCCTGAATTTCTCAAACTGCCAGATCTATGAGAATTTCAGTGTGGCATTAAGTAAAATATATTGAGGGAGAAAATCTCCTCCCTGCAAAATCAGATAATATATTTTAGATTATTCAGCACAATTCTTGCCACAGAGTTGTGACAACTAGTATTTAAATGATTAAATGCATGAACATATAATTTGAAGTATCTAAGCAAAGAGTCTGGCAGATAAATGTGTTTGATACAATATTGTAGTTATTTTGTTTGTATAATCATTGTGTATTTGTGAGCACAAATAGATTTCAGACAAAAGTTATAATTTGTTTTTAGTCCTTAAGATTTTTTGAGATGATGGAAGCTAATTGTCTAAATAATTCTTTAGTGAATTGGTGGATTAATCAATTTAGTGGTATAAAAACTGGTAAACAAATGTAGTCCTTTAAATGGATTTGTGGTTATAATGTTTTTGATTGTTCCAAGCATACAGTTTTCTCCTTTTTTTCTTTCTGCTAAACAAATACTGAATGTTTGATGAATAGTCTCTCTCTTCTCTCTTTCTTTCTCTCTCTTTCTGTAGTATAATATTGTACAGTGAAGTGTAGACATCTTTAGTTTACAATTTGATGAATGTGTGTATACACCATGTGTAACCACCTCCCAAATCAAATAGTGAACTCTTCCAGCACTGAGAGGAAGATACATCCCATACTAGTTTATCACTTAAATTATGTTTGTACTATTGAAGAGAACATATTTATTTTCAAATACATATAAGTTTTTAAAATGCTAGTACTATGTTGATCTAAATGTGTATTAAATTAAGAAGTAAAGAAAATGAGAAATTAGGGGCTTATAATGAAAAAAATTGAGAGAAATGGGGTAATCAGAATGACAGTAAGTTGTGAGAACCAAGTCAGAGATATCTGAGGAAGCATCTCTGGATGAATGAAGATATAGACTTAGACTACTGTGAATTAGGTGCTAAAGCATTATATTCCCACAAAGTACAGTGGTTGAAAGGACAATATGCCTTTCATATTGGACAATTTGCTGTCCCCTTGATGTTTAGAGAGGTGCTATATCATTTTAGAGATTTGAATGTGACCTTTATAGGATGTAAATGAAGCATCTGGAGCCTCTTGGAAGTTCTAAAGACCTGCCTGGGCAACTTGGCAAGACCTCATCTCTACAATAATTCAAAAAATCAGCCGGCGTGGTAGCGCATGCCTGTAATTCCGGCTACTCAGAAGGCTGAGGTGGAAGGATCGCCAGAGCCCAGCAGGTCGAGGCTGCGGTGGCTGGGAGCATGCCACTGCACTCCAGTCTGGGTGACAGAGTGAGACTCCAACTCAAAAAAAAAAAAAAAAAAAGAAAAATGTTGTACCCAAAATTCTAGTCTGTATTGAATCTGGCTGGAAGGGCTTTTGCTTTTCTTAGACTGAAGGCTAAGAGAGGGTCTGAAGAGATGCTCCTGACAGCATGGGGTGGGACACTGGGCCCAGTGCTCAGCGTTCATAAGGAGTGTCTTCTGAATGACGGAATCTTCACATGCTAGCATGTTGTCTCAAGAAAGTGAGAGCTATGCGGAGTTTCTGAATGATTTGTCCTTTTTTTCCTACTCAAGGACAAATTTAAATCGAAAGGCAGAGAGGATACCAATATGGTAAGAATAACTGAATTTGCTCTAATTTATAACAAAAAAATGTAAATACTTCAGCATTTTTGCTGTGATAGCAACCAGCTTTAAAAGCAGTGGTTCATTAGATACCATGATCCAGAGATTAGAACACAAAATTAATATAGTTATGGGAAACAGAGCAGAGATCAGCTTGAAGAAACTATCCGTGGACCTTAGGTGTCGTCTAGCGAAAGTTTAAGAGCACTTAAGAAATAATGATTGGCTGGGTTCGGTGGCTCAGACTGTAATCCCAGTGCTTTGGAAGGCTGAGGTGAGTGGATTGCCTGAGCCCGCGGGTTCAAGACCTGTTTGGGCAAGCAAGACCTCATCTCTACAATAAATAAAAAAAATTAGCCGGGCGTGGTAGCGCATGCATGTAGTTCCAGCTACTTGGAAGGCTGAGGCGGAAGGATCGCCGTAGCCCAACGGGTCGAGGCTGCAGTGGCCGGGAGCAGCCACTGCACTCCAGTCTGGGTGACAGAGTGAGACTCCAACTCAAAAAAAAAAGAAATAATGATTAAATTTGATTAACGAGAATTTTTTTTTAAATGAAGCAAACATTGTTTTCATGTAAACCATATGTTGGCATTACTAGTGACCTGTGCTTTCCAGACAACACAAGCAGGCTGAACAGAGTTGATGAACTACTCTCAAGAAACCTCAAAGCTTTTGAGAAAAAAAATTCTAGTATAGTCTATTTTCTGAAACATTTGAGAATACTAATAAAACAGTCAATTTTGGTGATGCCTGCCAGTGTCTTCCTTGACAGGTGATAGTGAATGAATTGCTGATAGTTAAAACAAATACAACTAGATTCTTTTTCATGTGTTAATGCTAGATTTTCTATAATATGTTGAAAAACTTGAAAGAAAAAAATTGATGCATCAGAACTTTCAAATAGCCATGCATTCTTTTCCTAGGCTGATGTCCATAAGCATTTTTCCTAGATTTTCTTCTTGGATTTTTATGGTTTCTGGTCTGATGTTTTTCTTTAATCCATCTTGAGTTAGGTTTTGTATATGGGGAGAGATAGGAATCAAGTTTCATATTTCTGAATGTAGCTATCCAATTTTCTTAGCACCATTTGTTGAATACGGTGTCCTTTCCCCCACTAAAACAAAAATAAATAAGTGGGACTTAATTAAACTAAAATGCTTCTGCATGGCAAAATAAATAATTAGCAGAGCAAATAGACAACTTACAGAATGGGGAAAGATATTTGCAAACTATACATCTGACAAAGGAGTAGCATCAAGAATCTACAAAGAATTCAAACAAATCAGCAATAAAAAAAGCAAATGACCCTATTTAAAAGTGTACAGGTGACTTGAGTGTACATCTTTCAAAAGAAGATATAAGATCACTCATAGACAGGGAAATACAAATTAAAACCACAATGAGACTTCACCTTGCATCAATCAGAATGGCCATTCTTTAAAAAATTAAAAAACAAAACAATAGATGCTGGCGTGGATGTAGACAAAGGGAATGCTTATACACTCTTGGTGGGAGTGTAAATTAGTACAACCTCTATGGAAAGTGATATGCATATTACACAATAAAGGGAAGGGGGAAGGGAGTTTAGGACTCAGAAACTACCTAGTGAGTACAATGTTCACTATTGGGGAATGGACTACCTGAAACCCAGTTCCCCACCACTCCACAATATGTCCATGTAACAAATACGCATGTGTACCCCCTGAATCTAAAATTTAACTAAAAGAACTTTCAAATATATATATGTCTTTTGCTTTGTTAGAATATAATTGTCAAAAAGGCAAAATCATGACTTTTATAGAAATATAAAGTGAACACACAAATGTTTTATTCAATGCATAATTAATAATTATCCTGTTAAATGTTAAAACCAGTCCAAAGAGCATTTGAGAAACTAGGTGTTTTGGGGCATTGTTAAGATACAAGATACAGCCCATGGATTAGATTATAAAGTGGTTAAATTCTAACACAGATTTAAACTGTTGTTATCTTAGGTAATCTTACCTGGCAAACATGATTTGCATCTTTTTCAGACAAAATTCTACAAGGTAACTTGTAACTTCATTGTTTGGAAAAACTAATCAGTAAGAGACAGGAAGGTGAGCTAAGTACTTACTTTTCCCCAGATGGTCACTGGGTGATCATCACCTCCATATGATATTGAAATGAACTGCCCCCTCATTTTGTTGCTTTATTTCTGGGTTTTGGATGCTTTTTCTCACAACTTTGAAAGTTAGTCCAAAAATATATGTTTCTTATGTTTCATTTTGCTTTCTTCCTCCCTCTTTGCTTGAATTGAAAAACTGCCCTAAAACAACCTTTTCCCCCCCAAATGAAACCAAGGTATTCTATACCTGGGTACTTACATGTTCTTCCTGAGATGCAAACTTACTATTTTGGAATTTTACTTCAAACTATAGAGAAGTCTTAAAAGGATGCTTCATAATCTTCTGTGGGAAAGTTCATTTTTTATGTAGATATTTAATCTTTGAGATAATGTGCAATTTTAAAATTGATTATATGTAAATTATTTTTAAAAGAAATATGTGAAGGATATATTGAGGGAAAAGAAAAACAGGTGGCTTGAGACTCTGGGACTGATTTGTAAAGTGGTACCAGATGTTCCTTCCCATCCGTTGAACAAATTGGTGCAAGTGAGTCAGAGACTAAGTGCAGGTTGACGAGAGCACTCTGGACGCATTCCAGTTGTACTAGAGATGCAGATTTCTTTGGTTAGGTTTTGAATGATGACAGGTGACAGTGGAATCAGTAATTTTCTGGAGTATTAGGCACTCATTGGAAAAATAGCTACTTTAAGCTTTCATCCTGCAGCTTGTTTTGTGTGGTGGCAGTCATATAACACTGGGCTTCATGTCGTAAAGCTATATACCTCTGCCTTTAGGAGGGAAGAGCTGAGTGCCAGATTGGCAAAGATTAAAGAAAGAGCCTTGAGTATGGGAAGCGAAGTGCTCTGATTTGCTGTATGGAGAATATGAATTGGTATAATCTTCTCTAAGAATAGTTTGGCACTATCTAAATATCAATATTTGTAATGTCCTTTTAATTGAGCCAGAGAAACAGAAATCTGACTGCAAAGATATAAGAATTGAATAGCAATGCTCATGCAATTCGGCAAGAAAATAGAATCAATCTTACAAGTTGACGTGGTTATTTTTTCACTTAAAAAAATTTTTTTATCATGAATTTTCATTTTGCTTTAAACTTAAATTTTTCTAAACCTTTATTTTTTTTAAAAAAACCCTGAATTTATAGCCATAATTGATCTTGGAACATTTGTGTGATGTGAAAAACTACTAATTTTGGAAATATGACCATATTACTCTTCAATAATATGGCATTTTATGTTTGAGTGCTTATTTATTAAAAAGCATACTCTCCCAACAATGCACATATTTGATTAGAATGAAATATTATTAAAATGCTTGTTTCTTAACTGGCAAAGCAGTTAAAAACTGAATGTTTTTTATATACCAGTTACTGGAAGCATTTCAATTAATTAGCTAACAGTAGCTAATTAAGGTTCATCTATACACTAAAACATCGTACATGCATGTTTTCAGAGTTTTTTTCCTTAAGCAAATTTTATCAAAGGTAAAGTTAATGTGAAAATATATAATGTTTCTCATTTTGTACCACGATAATCCTCAGTAAGATATATCAGGTACCTTTAGATATGATCAAAATTGCCAAATTTCTGAATGTTAAAGCCTAGAGACTGAGTAGGATAGATATATTATATTGAGAGTATCATGATTTATGAGACAGTGAAGTGTATGCATCATACAACCTTTTATGATAAAATTGAAATAAACTTGTGTAACAATGTTATTTTAAAAATTATTTTCAAGGAAAGAAAATTCCCAAAATTTATAACAAAAGAAATGGAGACTATGTATATAGAAGAGCTGCGGTCTTCGGTGAATCTGCTAATGGCCAATTTGGAAAGCCTTCCAGTTTCAAAAGGTGGCCCAGAATTTAAATTACAAAAATTAAAACGGTCGCAGAATTCTGCATTTTTGGACATAGGAGATGAGAATGAGATTCAGTTGTCAAAGTCCGACGTGGTGCTGTCATTCACCTTAGAGGTAAGTGGCTTTATTCCATGCTTGCCTCTGACAGCATAAATGAAGCTGCAGAATGACTTCTGCTGACCTTTGTGGTAATTTTTTAGAATTTAAAACGACGTAATATATTTCAGAGGTGATAAATTCTTCTTCATTTGCTGGACACTCAGGTTGTGTATGCAAATTAATTCAATTTTTCCTTAAACAGTAAGATTAAATAATGAAATAGTAAAAGTTCTGAGAAACCTCTTCTTTATGCCAGCAAGGCTAGTACGAGTTCATTGATAAATTAAGCATTAAAGCACACTTGGATTTCAACATATAATTGATTTCTCTGTAATTTGGGAACTCCTTTCAGGCATTTAGTTGAACTTGTTTTTTGTTTGTTTTTCTTTTCTTTCTTTTTTTTTTAATGTACTTTTCCTGCCAAATAACCTTTCTAGAATCATATTAAATAAACCAGTTGTAGCCAGGCTCGGCTACAGTTGTAATCCCACGCCTTTGGGAGGCTGAGGTGAGTGGATTGCCTGAGCCCGCAGGTTCGAGACCCGCCTGGGCAGCGAGACCTCAGCTCTACAAAAAATCAGCCGGGCGTGGTAGTTCATGCCTGTAATTCCGGCTACTTGGAAGGCTGAGGCGGAAGGATCGCCGGAGGCCAGCAGGTCGAGGCTGCGGTGGCCGGGAGCAGCCCCTGCACTCCAGTCTGGGCGACAGAGTGAGACTCCAACTAAAAAAAAATAAAAATAAATAAAAAATGAAAAATAAACCAGTTGAAGCCGGGCTCCGGTGGCTCAGCCTGTAAGCCCGCGCCTTTGGGAGGCTGAGGTGAGTGGATTGCCTGAGCCTGCGGGTTCGAGACCCGCCTGGGCAGCGAGACCTCATCTCTACAATAAATCAAAAAATCAGCCGGGTGTGGTAGCGCATGCCTGTAATTCCGGCTACTTGGAAGGCTGAGGCGGAAGGATCACCGGAGCCCAGCAGGTCGAGGCTGCGGTGGCCGGGAGCGGCCACTGCACTCCAGTCTGGGCGACAGAGTGAGACTCCAACTCACAAAAAAAAACAACAACAAAAAAAAAACAACAACAAAAAAATAAACCAGTTGTAATATGCAATACTGTATACGAGGCAAAATAGAGAATTCTTCCTTTGCAGAACCCCAAGTTCCAATGTAGGCACAATACATTATTAGGAAAAACAAGAACAAATATCATGCATTTAAAATTGTGTTCCCCAGAACTTCAGAGTGGCATCTCTTTTATATAAATCACTGGAAACCAAAGATGGATAGTCCTTTTAGTACAACTACTTGTTGATGTTTCCATGGTTACATTTTTTCGGTCTGTCTAGCTATGTGGGCTAATCTAGCTATATGTCTATGGGTTTATATACCACAATACACACACACACACACACACACAACACACACACACACACACACACACACACACACACACACACACACACACACACACACATACCACAAAGCTTTTTAGTTTCTAGAAGAAAGAACATCCGTGAAGCACAAAATAAAAGGTAATAACATAATAATCAGGAGTGTCAGGTCACACTTCAACTTAGCCTTCAGCTCCATATCACCCAAATAGTTTAGTTCTATAAGTAAATCCTACCAAAGTGAGGCTTAAATGTACAGAACTCTCAAAAATTATATTGAAGTTTACAGTTCTTTTCTTATATTGTTATATTGTGTCTCTGTTTCCCAATGCTACTATTTGCATTTGCTGAGGAAGAAAAGCATATACCATCTGAGGAGGAATAATTTTACATTTCTTTGTTGATGCTTGACTTGCTTTGTTTGTGGAAGAAAAAGAAAAGGTCTATTTTTGTTTTTCTCCTTCATTTTGCAGCTCTGAGATAAATTCAAGCTTGAGGATAAGACAACTGCCTCTCACTTTCTTAACTTCTAGGTTAATTATTTGTTTGTAGGTTAATAGTTTAAACTTAGTTTCAGGATAGAAATATGTGACTTTCTTTTGACTCAAGTTTCATTTTTGGGTGTACTTAATGTCTTTGCCAAATGGCGATGCTAAAGGGTTTCTTCTTAATCTCTTCAACCTCATAATATAATGATGTTTAATTTAAAACGACATAATATGTTGCATGTGACATTTCCTTATCATTCCTGCCTTAAATTTCCTACTGACTTAAATATAATGTGCCATCTCTTTTTCCTTTTTTTAAAAAGGCTTTGTCTAAAACAAAATTCATCATTTAACTACAATATAATGTTTTCTAACAAGAATTTGACATTTAAATTTATTTGGGGAAAAATGATTTGTAGAGCAAATAATTTTTATGATGTACAAATTTACCATTATCTTTTTTTTTGGCCTTTTTAAAATTTTATTTTAAAGACGTGGAGTACAATTCAGGATTAAGTATACAAGTGGACATAATACAGGTAAAGTTTGGGCCTCCCTTTGGTTCCTACTTTGCCTGGTTTGAGATCAGGTCCCTTATTGATGTTATTGTCTCCCCCCTCCACCTCCACAGTATCCCGCTACTGCCAATCCCTTTCCTATAGTATTATGGTAAATGTTCAGCATTTGCTTATGAGTGAGAGAACATGTGGTACTCACTTCTTTGTTTCTGTGGTAGATCACACAGTATTATAGATTCTAAACTTATCCAAGTTGCTGCAAAGTCCATATGTTTGTCCTTCTTTATGGCTACATAATATTCCATTGTGAATATGTACCACATTTTTTAAATCCAGCTCTTTCGATGGGCAGCATGGTTGGTTCCATGTTTTTGCTATTGTGAATAATGTTGTAATAAACATGCATGTGTAGGTATCCTTTTCCTAGTGTGATTTGAGTTCTTCTGGGTATATTCCCAGTTAGTTTGCATTCCCACCAACAGTGTAGAAGCATTCCCTTTTCTCCCCATCCTCGCCAGTATTTGTTGTTGTTTATTTTATTAAAGATGGCCATTCTTATTGGGGTTAGGTGGTATCTCAGTGTGGTTTTGATTTGCATTTCTCTGATGATTAGTGAGGCTGAGCACTTTTTCATGTGTCTGTTGGCTGCCCACATATCTTGAGAAATGTCTATTCATGTCTTTTGCCCATTTTTTAATGGGGCTGTTTGTCTTTTTCTTTTTGGCATGTTTGAGTTCCTTGTAGATCCTGAATGTTAAGCCTTTGTGAGACATACAGTTGGCAAATATTTTTCCCATTCTGTGTGCTGTCTCTCCACTCTCTTGATGGTTTCTTTTGCTTTGCAAAGCTTGTCAGTTTAATGAGGTCCCACTTGTCTATCTTATTTCTTATGGCATGGACAGCTGGGATTTTTATCAAGAATTGGTTGCCTACTCCGATTTCTGTAAGGTTGTCTCCTGCATTTTCTAAGATTCTATCACCACACAAAAATCAACTCTAAATGGATCAAAGACCTAAATGTAAAATCTCAAACTACCATTATCTTTATATTTAAACACTGAGAACTTAAAACAGTTCAGAACATTTTCCCTTTTCTCTGTTATTCAAAAATCTTCAACAATTGTAAATAATTAACTTCTTATGAATTTTATTTTGTCTTTTGAAAACAAAATTAGGCTGATGAGTCAATGTTTAAATGAAACTATGAATTGTTATTCTGTGCTTTATTGCCAATATGTTAAAGAGGGCTGTTCAGTTGGCAATATAATGTTGTTAGGAAGAGAAGATGAGCTAAAACTTCATTTTTCATGGTTTCAGAAGTTTTCATATTTATAAAATTGTTTTGACATCCTCTGTTGCTATGTCTATCTGAGGCACATATTTTCCTACCATAGCATAATACAAATCTGTTCTTGGGTACCCACAGTCTTTTAAGTAGGAGTTATGTGTCCACCAACAAAATGAAATCATGTGATGTGACAACGGTGCAGTGTATATTTTTGTAGCGCACCTGTGAGAATAGACCAGATACTCCTGTATCCCACAGGGCCTATGATATCAGCCAAGCTAAGCCGAATAATTATCTCTAGCCCATTAAGCAAGCCTTGCTCCTCAGACCCCAGATTTCAGCCTAAGAAAACTCTGAAGGGCAAGCAGTTAATCCAATTTAAAACTCTCACATTTCATTAGTGAGGCTTAGAATTGGTCCAGTGGAGGAGTCTTTTCTAAGAACTGTATCCTGAGTCTAAGTAATAAGGTGCAGATTTTAAAAACTCTGCTCAAATTTCACCTTCTCTTTAAAATTACTCCCACCTCTCCCTTCTTCCACCATGCCGTATTCCCTTACCAAGCTTAGTTTTTGCCATAACAGTTATCACCTAATATATGATACTGTTATTTATTGTGTCTATTATTAATTATTTGACTCTATCCTAGAATATATGCTGCAGGAAGGTAACTTTTTTTCTTTCTTTTTTGTTTGCCTAGGTATCCAAAGTGCCTTAACAGTATCTGGCATACAGTTGACTCAATAAATATTTATTGAATTAAGGATTTTTTTTTGATGGTACCAAAAAGTAGCAGTTAGCTATACAAGATTACTTTTAAGTCTCTCCATTCATGAGGACTTCAGAAGGAATATTAAAGCAAGGAATAAACTAACCCACAAAACACTAAGTCATTCAATGATATGTTAAAATTAAATATTCAATTAAAACTAGAGAAATGAATGTTCATGTCTGTATGCTGTATGGGGAATGGTTTCAGTGACATGACTATAGCTGATTTTTCACACTGAGTTTTCATCATTGATATTAGCTTAGCAGATCTCATGACTTTCTCTGTGTCTGGTGATAATTATAGTTACTGATCTCACTCGACTTCCTGGCTGCACATACTTAAGTGGTCCATTGTATTACTTACAAGCATGTTATCTAGTTTCATATTTTGTACATGCCTCTTTTTACTTCTAAGGACAATTTTGTCTGTTTTATCCTTGTGACATCAGCTAGAGAGAGATTTGGGAAGAGAAGATGAAACATAGTCAATTTTAGTTTCTGTGGGTTCATTATCAAGTTTTACTGGAAATTGAAACACTTACTTAAACTTAGTTTAATTGCTGATCTATGGAATTGTGACTGTCTTTATCACTAATGACTAAGACTAGTTATGCTTTACTTTCATTTTGGAAGTCAGATCTGTAGAATTGTGTTGTTTTATTTATATGTATAGATTCATCATGGAAGTTATATGTTTCGAAAATGACAATTCCCTAGCATAAAACATTCTCAGCACAGTTGGGAATATTGTTTGAAAAGCAAAATACTGTTTCACAAGTTGTATGTTTTAGGAGGTCCTGTTTACAACAGGTTGTAGTAGACATGACAGAAATCATGTCAATCAGATGCTTTCTTTCTTCTCTCTTGCACTTTAAACACACTATAGAAAGAGATGCAATGTAAACAATAATATTCTGAAATCTGATTCAGTGCTGTTAAGATTTCGACTTATCTGGTGATACCCAGTTGGGTTATTTCATACATTTTAAGTGACCATCAAAATTTTTATTATTGAATTAAGTTATTAAAGTCATCATGGTAAGACCAAATGTAGTTGTCTTTTAATTGATGTGGTTATGTTTTATCTCAGTTTCTGATTAGTTTTATTTGTATAAGGATCTAACCAATTTCTTTTTTTTTTTAGATTAGAAAATATAGTTTATTTAGAAAGCAAATTAGAAAGAGAAAGAGGAGATTCACCTCCCCAGGATAGGGGAGAGGTCCAAATCCAGGAAACATGGTCTGGTCAAAGAGCACATGGCTACCCATAGCTTAGTAAGGCAATGACGTCAATAGCCTGACAATGGCCTAGCAATGACTGCAATGGCCTGCAATGGCTAACTAATTTCAACATTACTAACAACAAACTTGAGTCATTAAAAATGCATAAAAGTTTTTTGCTTATTTTCCTTAATCAAGATTTGGTAATTCACCCCAATTTCCTTGAGTATTAGAACATCTGTGAAAGATGTAACTTTATCTGTCCATTCTTCATTAATTTCTTAGTCTTTTTTAAGTTGTCTTTATTTTTATTCATATATGTAGGTATGCATTTCAATATGACAAAATAATAAAAAAAATGAGAGCCCTAGTTGAGGAAGGAAATTTATTATTATTTTGACCTTTTATTTTATCACTACATAACTGAGTGATAAGTTTCCCATATTTTTAATGAAAAACAACAAAACGAAATACATATTTGTATTTACAAACATAACCCTTCTCTTGTGACAGAGATGCAAGGAAGTTCGGTTATTTTAAGATAGTTTGTTTCTTTGGGGCCTTTTGGATCAAGATTCATATCACAACTTTATGAAAAGTGTAATGACTCTAATAAGATATTAAATGATCAGTAAATGATATAGAGGATGTTTGTGGTAGATATTTTGGTAGCTATATAGCATGAGTGCTATTATTCTTGTTTATAGAAATACAATATGAAATCAATGAAGAAACTAATGTACATGTATAAAAATACATTTTAGTCTGCTTTATAAACTAAATTTTGAGAATTTAGAAAAGTTCATGTTACAAGTTTTGATTTTTAAAGACTATGGTAAATAACATTCATATTTTGCATATACATCCAATGAGAACATTAGGTTACAGTATTTTAAGATTGGTGGCTTCATCAACAACCATAAAAAGTACACTTGAAAAAATATATGTTTCCCTTTCTCCCAGAAATTACAGATACATAAGGCAATATCAGATTTTTTCATCCTTTTCTAGTATATTGTATTAAATTGGTACAAAGCTTTCTGGATAAAAAATTTAGATATTTTTAATCAAGTCAGTATTAAGATGTTCAGTGACAGATTATAGTTCCTGTATTGTTTTAATAATAAGACCTGTACTGATCATAAAGGAAGTTATTCTATAAATAGTAATAGTCATCTGAAATAGGTAAATGGCAAATTTTTGGTATCACCTGTCGATATCAGCAAATTGGTATGATGGTGATGGTGTCTACCAGCAATAAATACCGTGTTACTTTGAGGGAACTTGCTATGCACTGCTCTTAACTGCACTGAATTTTCATTTACGATTCTTCTTTACTTCGTACAGGCTTGCCTTAATTTGTTAAGGATCTGAGCTTAGATTTCATTTAATTCACTAGGGCTTATATTCATGGCCTTTAATCTTACTTTTATTTAATAGCTGGCAGGAGACTAGATACTAGACTCCCTTGAAATGTCACTTACTATTCTATCTATGAATAGAGGTGAATTATAAAGAAGTTGAAATACCAGTGATGTTAACAGCTAACAAATCTGGGTTTTTTTCCCCCAATTTTATCAATTAGTCTTCTCATTGCCATGCTGCTATTTCTGTATATTGCTAGATGCTATCAAGGTGACAATGTGACATGTTATTTTAAAATCATTTTATCTTCAGATTGTCATAATGGAAGTGCAAGGTTTGAAGTCAGTCGCTCCCAATCGAATTGTTTACTGTACAATGGAAGTGGAAGGAGAAAAACTGCAGACAGACCAGGCCGAAGCCTCAAGGCCGCAGTAAGCCAATTGGAAAAAAAAAATGTCTTTCTGTTTTTTTTTTTTTTAATCTTCCCAAAGAAGCATGCTTTATTTATTTGCAAAATTATATGGTATTACATTCAGAAACTGCTGTTTGACTAGCTTTGTCTTAACTGTGTTTGAATCAGCATGCACCTTTCTGAATAATGAGGTTATAATTAGACCGTGGCAGAATCCCTGTGTAGTACAAACAGAAGATTCAACATGCAAATATGAGTCTAATCATTAGACAATAAAACATTTGTAAGTCATTTATAAGGAAAGCATGTTGTGTCATCATGTGTTATTTTAAAAGTAGTGCATAATGCTATTTTAGTTATTAGGATTATACTCTAATAACCTTTTCATTTATTTCTGTTATAGTTCTGGGGTGATGTAGATACCACAATTCTGCACAATGACTTGGAGTACTTAGTGAGTAGGCTTGAGTTAGAAAGCCAGTTCTTGACAACTGCACAATAATCAGAGATGATAAAGCTGTTCTTTGCTGGCAGTTTGATGTTTCAAATTCTGGGAATGAGTTTAATTAAATTAGACAGATGTTCTCAAACTTGGGAAGCACATAGTTCTCAGGTAGAAATAACCAGGCTGGCCTGAGGAATCCAGATGAAACTTGCCTGGTCTTGTTTTCACACACTGCCTTTAGAAAAAAGTTTTTTCATCTATTTTATCTTTATTCTAAATGTCTTCTAGGATATAGGATTTTGCCTTATCACAAATTCGGTATGTGGCCTTTGATTCAAGAAACTGCTGTTGAGATCCTGGCTAGACTCCGGTGATAAAAGATACACAAGAAGCTTTCATTTTCTTTGGAGCATGCCGGATGGGAGACACAGAGTAGTGGGTGTCATAGAAGAGATGCGTACAGAGTATTATGGAGTAGAGGAGAAGCAAGTTGAAAACTCTCACTCTGCCTTACAAACCCCTGCAGGTGTGCCCCTGACCAATTTCTCAGTACCTCTGGGACCTCATTGTCTCCTTCTGTTGCCCAATCTCTACCACCCTCTGTCCACCCTAGACCTCACGCCATCCCTCAAACACATAGCAGCCTGTTTTCATCATGGTACTTGCTTCCATCTCTGCCTGCAGTCATCTTTCCTTTTATATCTGTATAGCTGGTTCCTTGGCATTGAGAATCTCAACTTAAATATCATTTCCTGAGATTAATCCTTCCCTTAGAGAACCCAATGGAAAGCAGGCATTTTTCTGTCTCATCACTAAAAAGTGATTTTTTGAACCGATGTATTTCTCATCTTTTATTTCTTTTGTACTGTGTTTTTTTCCAAGAAAAGAGCAAAATTCTTATCCTATTTAGTTTATATTCTAGTACGGAGTAGGTCTTCAATAGAAATTTAATTCAGTTGATTGAACTTGCTTTTGTGACTTAGTCACAGTAAATATTTGAGGGTAATATTTTAGTATATTCACAGAATTGTACAACCACCACTACTATCAATTTTAGAACATATTCTTCACCCCCCAAATACTCTAGCCCTAAGCATCCACTACTTACCTTTCATCTCTATAGACTTACATCTTCTGGACATTTCATATAATTGTATACAGTCATGTATTGCTTAACAATGTGGATACATTCTGAGAGATGTGTTGTTAGGTGATTTTATCAAACATCATAGAGTATACTTATATAAACCTAGATGGCAAACCAAAGGTCCCAGCACCATTACTGAATATCAGTAATTTCCCCTACTGAACTTACAATGTCAATATCAAACTCCATATATCAGGTTTTCTATACACGTGTTTTCCACTATAAACTTATGGGACCACTGTAGTATATGTAGTCTCTCGTTGACTGAAAGGGCCTTATACAGTATATAACTATAATATTTGCTCTTTTATGACTACCTTCTTTCACTTAACATAATGTTTTCAAGATTCTTTTATCTTGTGGTATGTATGAGGACTTTATTTTATAGGTGAATAATATTTCACTGTATATAATCATACTGCACATATATGTGGTATATATATGTAGTATATACATATGCAGTATCTCTATATAATATATATGTATACACACACACATTATCCTTTTATCTTTGTTATTGGAGCTTGATTGTTTACACCCTTTTGCTATTGTAGCATATGCTACAGTAGACATGGGTGTACAAGTGTTTGTTAGAGTTTCATTTTTAATTATTTGGGGTATATACCTGGGAGTGAAACTGCTGAAACATATGGTAATTCTATGTGTGGCTTCTCAAGGACCTTCCAAACTGCTTTGCACTATGGCTGCACCATTAACATTTTCACCAGCACTGTATTAGGGTTTCCCCATGTTTTCACCAACACTTGCTATTTTTCACTGTGTATGTGTGTGTATGTATGTTTTATAGCCTACCTAGTAGATGTGCAGTGGTATCTCATTGTGGTTTGGATTTGCACTGTCCTCATGACTAACGATGTTGAGTATCTTTCATATGCTTTGTTAACCATTTATATATCTTCTTCAGATAAATGTCTACTCAAGTCCTTTGCCCATTTTTTAAAAAATTGAGTTCTCTGTCTTGTGGTTGTCAAGTTGTAAGAATTCATGTAGTTACTAGCCCCTTATCATATATATGATTTGCAAATATTTTCTCCCAGTCTGTGGGTTTTTTCACTTTCTTGATTTGTCTTTTGAAGCACAAAATTTTGATGAAATTCAGTTTACTTTTTTCTTTGTTGCTTGTGCTTTTGATGTTGTGTCTAAGAATCTATTGCCAAGTCTAAGGTCATAGAGATTTATCCTTATGTTTTCTCCTAAGATTTTCATAGTTTAATCTCTTTCATAAAGGTCACTAATCCATTTTAAGATGCATATGGTGAATGTAAAGGTCCAACTTTCTTCTTTTGCATGTGACTACCAAGTTGTCACAGCATCATTTGTTAAATAAACTAATTTTCCCTCATTAAGTGTGCTTGCACCCTTTTCAAAAATCAATCGACCATAGATAGGTGAATTTATTTCTGAACTCTCAATTCTATTCCATCAATCTATATGTCTATCTTTATGCCAAGTACCACACTGTCTTGATTATCAGTGCTTTGTAGTAAGCTTTGAAATCAGGAGTACAAGTTCTCTAGCTATGAGGTTTTTCAGGATTGTATTTGGTTATTCTGAATTTCCATATGAAGCTTAGGATGATTTTATCAATTTCTGCAAAGATTGCCAGCTCAGATTCTTATACAGATTATAGTGAGTCTTTAGGTGAATTTGGAGAAATAATGCCATCTTAACAATATTTAGTCTCCTGATCCATGAACACTGGATGTCATTCCATGTATTTAGATCTTAATTTCTCTTGACAATATCTTTTAGTTCTCAAAGTATAAGTTTTGTACTTCTTTTGCCAGATATATTTCTAGCATGTTATCCTTTGTGATGCTATTGTAAATTGAATTTTTTGCATCTTATTTAGGAGCAACTATTAAATGTTATATAAAATTATAATTAATTTTGTATATTGCTAAGCTTGTTTGTTTTTATTTTATTTTATTTATTTATTTATTTTTGAGTTGGAGTCTCACTCTGTCACCCAGACTGGAGTGCAGTGGCCGCCCTCGGCCACTACAGCCTCAACCTACTAGGCTCCAGCGATCCTTCTGCCTCAGCCTTCCAAGTAGCTGGAACTACAGGCGCGCGCTACCACGCCTGGCTAATTTTTGATTTATTGTAGAGATGAGGTCTTGCCAAGTTGGTTAGGCGAGTCTTGAATCCGTGGGCTCAGGCAATCCACTCACCTCAGCCTCCCAAAGCGCTGGGATTACAGGCTGAGCCACCGAGCCCAGTTTGTTTATTAATTCTAACATTTTTGGTGGATTTTGTATGCTTTTCTATATACAAGAGTATGTCATCTGAAAATAGTGACAGTTTAACTTCTTCCTGTCCAATATTGATGCCTGTTTTTTGTGGTTTTTGTGTGATTAATTTTCCTTCAGTGCAATGCAGAGTGCAATGCAGAGTGCAATGCAGAATAGAAGTGGTGAAGAAAAAACCTGACATTTTTGTGGTGTTCCTGTTCTTGAGGAGAAAGCATATAATCTTTTACAATTAAATGTGATTTTAGCTGTGGGTTTTTAATAGAAACTTTTATTAGTTTGAGGAAGTTCCTTTCTATTCCTAGTTTACTGAGTTTTTTATTTTTATTTTTATGAAAGGGTGTTGGATTTTGTCAAATGCTTTTTCTGTATCTATTGAAATGACTGTGGTTTTTGTTTTTTATTCTATTGATATGTTGTATTATATTATTTAATTTTTCAGGTGTTAAAAAAGCCTTACATTTCTTGCACAATTCCTACTTAATCATAATGTAGGATCCTTTTCTTTTGTTAATGGATTTAGCTTTCTAGTACTTAGTTGAGGATTTTTAAGCCCAGCATACTGGCTCACGCCTAAAATCCCAGCACTTTGGGAAGTGGAATTGGGTGGACTTCCTGAGCCCAGGGGCTTGAGATCAGTATGAGCAACTTCACAAGACCTTCTCTCCACAATAAATTTTTTTAAAAATTAGCAGTACATGGTGGCATGCACCTATAGTTCTGGCTACTTGGAAGGCTGAGGCAAAAGGATTTCCTGAACCCAGCAGGTCAAGTCTGTGGTGACCATGAGTGTACCACTGCACTCCAACCTGAGCGACAGAGTGAGACTCCAACTTAAAACAAAGGGGGGGGGGGTAGTTTTTACCTCTATATTTATAATAGATGTTGTTGTTATAATATTCTTCTGTGATGTCTTTGATTTTGGTATCAAGGCAGCATTGGCCTTTTAGCATGAATTTGGAAATATTCCCCTCCTCTCCTATTTTTTTTGAAGATTATGAAGAGTTTTTATTATTTTTATTTTTTTAATGTATGGTAAAATTCACCAAATAAGCCATTTGGGCTAAGCTTTTTCTTTGGGAGTAATTATTTGAGTACTAATTTGATCTCTTCAGTTATTATAGATCTAGTCACAATGTCTTTTCTCTTGAGTC